ATTTTTGTAGTAATATTTCATAACAATATTTGGCCTTGTTTGGTAACATAGTAAACTTATTAGTCAATTTTGGCCTGTTTGACCACTATTAGCTATTTGACTTGGTTAAACAGCCAATATGAGTATTGATTAATTAGCTTTTTGTAACAATTTATTACTTCAAAATGCTAAAATTGAAAAAAGTTGCTCAAAGCAGCATTTTCGGTAAGCTTTTTGAGAAAGTCATTTTGCAAGTGATCAACAATCACTAACAGCTAATTTACTAAACATCTTTCTACAATCAGCTAATGCTATCAATTAGTCAAACTCACTCAATAAGCTAACTATCAATTAACAGCTATTTACCAAACAACCCCATTATTTGTTATGGATACTAGTATCCGATGAGGGTACAATTTGTTAAGGATATTTGTGGTTGACATCTTTTGTATATGATTAGTTCTAGTTGCATTCCTGTTATGTAAATTGTTAGACTGGTTATTACAACAACCTGCTAACTACCTGCTATCTTCTCTCCCTTGTATGCTATTTAAAGTTGATTCTTTATTTCAATAATATCATTCAAGTTCATAATCTGTTATGGTATCAGAGCCTAATTTCTCCTACGAAATTTTTTTTCCTTCCCCTTCCAAATAGCTTCCGCTACTACAATCACAAATACAATAATTCAATTAAATGCCCCAACGCATTTTTCAATTAAACTCACGACCGTGAATCTTCTCTCCCTTGTATCCTATTTAAAGCTGATTGTTTACTTCAATAATATCATTCAAGTTCATAATCTATTACAATTAATATCAATGCCAACCTCAAGTGAATGAAAAAATAATCATCATTAAATTGTATTAATTACCATTTACCAAGATGTCCCCATACAATGCTGTATACCGTTAAGAGTATTCAATTGTCTCATACAAGTCTTTTATTATTACAATTATTATAGAATATATTTGTTATACCTAACAAATTAGGCATTAATAAAAATAAATAATTCTTGAAAACTTAATGGGTCGTTTGGTTTGGTTTACGGAATGTCAGATTACCTTAGGGAATGTTAAATTGCTGGAAATGTTGAATTTCTGAAAATGTTAGAATTCAGTGTTTGGTTAAAACTGAGATATGTAATATAAAACTATTTGGTTGAAGGGTTGTTCTTTATGTTATAATGGATAACATAAGTTAACACCAACACCAACAATACTCAAGAATTATATATAGATGGTCACAAGTTTGATTCTTACCAACACCCTCTCGGTCGAGCCTGTCGCAGAGGGTCTTCCTAGTACAATTTACTTCTCATGTATCATATAGGCTATATATTACACAAGAGTAGAGTTTACCTAATGTACAATATCAAATACTAGTGACAAGTTTCCCTCTTCACCGAGATATAATCGATACCGGTGCCAATCTAGAAGAATGAGATGTAAATTATGACAAATTGTCTTAATTACCAAGATGGCCCCCATGCAATGGGGTGTTCCATTAGAGTACAGTGATGGATGATGCTAGAGAGATTGGTTAGTAGTTGCACATATATATGTTTTGGAAGAGTCACATCCATTTGGGTCCCTAACCCTAATGAGCCACCGGCGCACCCAATACGTGTGAGTGCCTCAACCCATCCACAATATGATTGGGTTGGTGTTCATAAATGAGGCTTTTCCCCACACCCACACAAAAAAAATGTACTGTTTTTCTCATGCCCATTTTAGTTCTAATGGTAGGGGTCCCTTTTCACATACTCTATTATTTTTAGCATTCACTCAAAATATCTATCCCTTTGTCCTTATTGGACCCATTCATAAATCACATTGGAAATTCCGTGCACCTTTTCATCAAAAAAGAAAATTTCAGTCCTTAGCTATCCGCCTTCAACATTCCATACAAATTCACGTTTTAGATATGGCCTGGTTTAATTTTCGAGTAACATTATATTACAATTACTTTCACTTTTTTATTTCGGTTTGTATTCTTTGATAAATGAAGAGTTCCTCGCATGAGCTTATCAACTACATTTTTATAAAGTAACACATGATAAGTTTTTATATGGATATGTATCAAATTGAAAGATGTGTTATATTGACTCACAAGAAAGTTTAATTAAAATGGTATAATAGTTGTATTGAAATTGTGTGTGTGTAAAATAGGATTCAATCACAGCTTTACATCTGTAAAAATTCGATGAATCTAATCAGATTAAAAAAAAAAAAAAAAAAAACGCAGTGAAATTTTTATAATTATCATCAACTTCACTAGGCAAACTTGAACACTTATCAAATATGCAATCTTTAACAACTAAATATGCAAACCTGGTAAATTTTATAAAATTAAGAAAAAGCTAAATTTTAAATATAACCCATAAATGGTAGACATTAAAAAGTGAACCACTAAACCAAATAAAATCAAAAACTCGGTCAAAAATTCTAAAATAGAAATCCTAAGTGCAATGCACTTTCACATTTTTTGCAAGTATAATCTTTTAATACTAAATATACAAAATGTTAATATCAAATGTTCAAAATATTAATACTAAATGTGCAAACCTCAAAAAGTTTGAGAATGACAGATTTTAGTGTTCAAGTTTGCATAGTAAAATTGGTGATAATTACAAAAATGCCGCCACATTTTTAAAAAATTTGATCTGATCCGCCCGATTTTTCCAGATATAAGGTTGAGATTGATTCTTATTTCTCTCTTTAAGAACTTGTTCTCATTTGATCGAATACCTATATATATAGGGAAGGGTTCAGGTGCGGTAAAAGCTTCCCGTGCGGTTGTGCAGTTGACGCACCTTAAGCATTAAAAAAAAAGAGTTTGTCTGGAATAAAGTTTTATTCAAAAGTTTTAGTTCAAAAGTTTTGTTCATCTTGAGGGTCTGAACCACCTATCAGTTCAAAAGTTTTGTCTCACAGAGAAGGTGCGCGAAGAAGAAACACGACGCACATTAAGCACAAAACTCACGCACTGCACCTTAAGCACAAAACTTACGCACCTTAATTTTTGTTCAAAAGTTTTGTTCTTGTGGGTCTGAACCACCCATCAGTTCAAAAATTTTGTTCTTCTTGAGGGTCTGAACCACCCATCAGTTCAAAAGTTTTCTTCTTCTTGAGGGTCTGAACTACCCGTGACTCACAGAGAAGGTGCGCGGAGAAGAAACACGACGCACATTAAGTACAAAACTCACGCAACTTAAGCACAAAACTCACGCATCTTAAATTTGACCTAGTTACAAAAATTACCAAATTGACACCGCTATTTTAAAAAAATTTCTGTAATCCTGAACGTTGATCTAAACAAAATCAATGACTCTCCTCTCACCGCACAACCGCACCTAAAACTGCCAACCGCACCAGAACCTAATTCTATATATATGATTTGAGCCGATTTTATTTTTGGCACAAAGGGAATGAGACACGTAGAAAAGACTAAACTCAGTCTAGTTTGAGAGGACGAAGCCTCAAATGAGACACTCCCACAATCTTTACCGACGAGGAGCTTCCTTCCATCCTCTCACACCTCTATTCAGACATAGGGGTGTAAACGAATCGAATCAAGTCAAATATCTCAGTATTCGATTCGAATTTGATTATATATTCGAATATTCGTGTTCGTTTAATATTCGAATCTCAAATTTGATTCGTATTCGATTCGACCAGTTTATTCGAATATATTCGATTCGACTCGAATATTCGGATTCAAAATGCCTAACTTAATTTTTTATAAAATTCTCCAAAAAATTAAGATAAAATGTAATAAAAATTTATATTTAAATAGCATAAAATATTCGAATACTATTCGAATCGAATACACTCTAATTCGTATTCATATTCGAAAAATATTCAAATCGAAAAAAGTATTCGAATTCGGATTCGTATTCGAAATATTCGAATTCGAATCAACATATTCAAATTCGAATCACAAATCAAATTTTTTTATTTGATTTGTTTACACCCCTATTCAGACATAATAACAATTTTTCAATGGTGATTTGCTTTCATGGAAAATGTTGCTTCATGTTTAACTTCAAACTTCATAGCTATCTAGCAGGCTCTCCATCCAAATAATTAACAAGATTTTATGAGATATGACACAAGTAGTTGGTGATTTGAATTTGTACCTTGATTGGCCTTGGGATTCTTTAATTTGGTTTATTAAGGCAGGTAAGATGCTAATTTTTTATTTTATTTTTTGTTTTTTAATGATGCTAAGCCTCCATCACATTCATTATATTGTCCAATAAAGATGCATGAATCTTGATTGAGCTTGAGTGTTTGATGGCCAATATATATACAATGAGGAATGATAACATTGGACTTGTTTGGTAAAATGACTGTTAGCTGATAGTTGTTAGCTGTTAGCTGATTGTGTTAATTAGAGGGTATAAATAGTTGATAACATTGGCTCATTGTAGAAAAGTGTTTGATAAATTAGCTGTTAGATGATAACTGTTTGGTATAATTTCTTTTCTCAAAAAGCTAATTGAAAAAGTTGTTTGGAGTAACTTTTTGAATTTTAGCATTTTGAAGTTGCAAAAAGCTAATTAATTAAACATTTATATTGATATTTTAACTAAATCAAACAATTAGTAGTGATCAAATAAGCCAAAATTGACCTATAGGCTTATTTTTTACCAAACAAGGCTATTGTCATTTAATTTGATTTGAATTTGATACAATCAGACATATCGTGTACAATTGCACGCGTCAAAATATTATTAGTGTCCATCAATGCCTTAAAAAAAAAAAAGAAAAAAAAAAAACTACACACATGACATCAGGTAAGAATAGGGTGTGGAGTGAAAAACAAGAGAACTGTATATTAACCTTCTTAGTTTGAGCAGGTCGATCACCAATGCGGTGCATTAGTGTATTGGTGCATTTTCAAACATTGTGTGGTACATTTATGTATACTTAATGGTGAATGTACATCCGCCGTACGGAAAATACTGTCTGCATTTGAACCAGTATATATATATACACACACGAAAGGATCTGTGT